ATTGGCATTTTCGAACAATGAAAAATTACTTCTAAGTGGATCATCGCTTATTCGGTTTTTTGCAGGCTTCGACAAGATCATCGATGAATGGAGAAAGAAGCACGACGATCTCGCTGCTGAACTCGATGCTGCTCAACGCGACAACCGCAACCTCTCCACTGATCTCTTCCGAGTATGTTGAGCTCACTCAAGACTTCAATCGACCTCTGAAAAGGTGTTCTCTTCTTGCAGGCCAAGACCGCCCAGGACGAGCTTGCGGAGCACCTTGAAAGCGTGCGCCGCGAGAACAAGCAGCTTGCACAAGAGGTGAAAGATCTTGCCGACCAGCTCGGCGAAGGTGGACGGTGAGTGCTACGAACCAAAATGGTATCAAAAACCATTCCCATTTACGAGGCAATCATGCTATTTCAGCTCCGTCCATGAGCTCCAGAAGATGGTGCGCCGTTTGGAAGTCGAGAAAGAAGAACTGCAGAAGGCTCTCGACGAGGCTGAGGCAGCGCTAGAAGCCGAAGAGGCTAAAGTGCTCCGTGCCCAAGTCGAAGTCTCCCAAATCCGTTCTGAGATCGAGAAGCGCATCCAGGAGAAAGAGGTTCGCTAGAATTAATGCGCTAGGTCATGCGGAGATCCATTGTGATATTTTCAGGAGGAATTCGAAAACACTCGCAAGAACCACCAACGGGCACTTGAAAGCATGCAAGCCACCCTTGAAGCCGAGACCAAGCACAAGGAGGAAGCCCTGCGCATCAAGAAGAAGCTCGAAGCCGACATCAACGTATGTTCGCCATGATTCCGACAAAGAGGTCGTTATTAAGTGGGTGTGATTTTAGGAGCTCGAAATCGCCCTCGACCACGCCAACCGCGCCAACGCCGACGCACAGAAGACGATCAAGAAGTACATGGAAACTGTCCGCGAACTGCAGCTCCAGGTTGAGGATGAGCAACGACAGAAGGACGAGATCAGGTGAGTGCCACTCCCTGCATCTGAGGCTTAACAGACGACAGCTGCTCAATAATCTAATATTCCAGAGAGCAATTCCTCAACTCCGAGAAACGCAACGCGATCCTCCAGGCCGAGAAGGAAGAGCTCTCACAGATGGTCAGTTTCGCTGTGATGGACATAGCGGTAGACGCTTTCCATATTCGGAGAATATTTAGGCGGAAGCCGCGGAACGTGCACGACGAAATGCCGAAGGAGACTGCATCGAGCTTCGTGAGCAGAACAACGACCTCTCATCGCAACTCAACGGAATCACCGCCGTCAAGAGAAAGCTCGAAGGAGAACTACAGGCGATGCATGTGAGTTCCAGCAGGACCGCAATAAGACCCTGAGAAAAAGTAATCCTTTGAATTCCAGGCCGAACTTGACGAAACCCTCGCTGAACTCAAGAACGTTGACGAAATGGGCAAGAAGGTAGGCTGAGATTATATAACCACTGCGATCAGATAAAGCCATTCCTCTTCCAGGCTGCCGCCGACGCCGCTCGCTTGGCTGAAGAACTCCGTCAAGAACAAGAACACAGCATGCACATCGAACGCATCCGCAAAGGACTTGAGGTTCAAATCAAGGAAATGCAGGTGTGTTTTACCCCAATATTGGCAGCTTCACCTCCTAACGACCATTCTAACGAACTAAATCCAGATCCGCCTCGATGAAGCTGAAGCTGCTGCTCTCAAGGGAGGCAAGAAGATCATTGCTCAACTCGAACAACGAATTCGTAGCCTTGAACAGGAACTCGATGGAGAACAGAGGTCCGTAGTCTCAGCGAGCATTAAAAAGTTCCGAGGCTGTTTGGACCAAATAAATCCGTTATTTTCAGACGTCACCAAGATACCGACAAGAACTGGCGCAAATCCGAACGCCGCGTCAAGGAGGTCGAATTCCAATTGGAGGAAGACAAGAAGAACCAGGAAAGACTCACCGAACTCATCGACAAGCTCCAGGCCAAGCTCAAGGTGTTCAAACGACAGGTCGAAGAGGCGGTACGTGCAAAATTACTCACTAGGCTGTTTCCCGTTCTTCTAGGCGACTATGGAAAAAAGGTGGTTATTTACAGGAAGAGGTCGCCGCTACCAACCTTGGCAAGTACCGTCAGCTGCAGGCACAGCTCGATGACGCTGAGGAACGTGCCGACATTGCTGAGAATGCGCTAAGCAAAATGCGCAACAAGGTATCAACGACCCCCTTTGTACCCTGCCCAGGTCACCTTGTAAAATGATGATTCCAGATCCGTGCCTCGGCATCTGTGGGACCCAGCCAGGGAGGACTCATGCAGTCGGCAAGCTCCGCGGTCATGCGAAGCACGTCGTTCGCCAGAGGAGGAGAGTATTAAATCAGCCACCATCAACAGCCGTTTTGCTTGGCTATAACGTCTTCGATTAATTTTTGCTATTTGCGGTCACTTTAGTGCTCAAGTCGTGTATAGCCGACACCTCTGCTGTTCTGTTCATTTGTTTTCTCCATCAAATTCCATTTCTCCGATATCAAACCATTGTCGTGGAGTACTGTACTTGTCGAAGACTATCATCATAGTCGTACAAGCGCTCTAGTCAATTGTAATATACTCAATAAGCGATACGATAAAAATTTCAAACTGATATTTTCTCTTCACAAGAAATATCTACACAAATCACATCTACTGGCCTTTCTTCCAAAGAAGGCTTGTGAACTGAGTCGGACAGGAATTATACTGAAGGACGATCGGTTTGGACCGAAAACTGAACTGCAAAAGGTGAAGGAGTGACAAAACCTCATACTTGGCAAATATGGCCTCCAATGTCGAATAATCTTCTTGGAAAAACTCACTTCTTCTCACGAGCCTTAAAGGCTATGTTCAGGATTTCTGGACTAAATGAAGCTCTTGTTCGAGAAAAATGGAGGTGAACGCAAGCGCTGAGCATGTACTCACTTGTGCCACAACTTAAGAAGACTGGGGCGCTAAAGTGGAATGGCCGTAATCCCACTATATTCTTGAGGTCTGCTTCTAGGGGGCAGGAACATCGGGGAAAATGAGAATTTCTCATGCACCCTTGTGCCTCCAATCTCTCCTCTGAGGCTTAGTCTCGATTTTAACAAAAAGGAGGTGTTCCACGCGACTTCTAATGCACTGTTACCACAATACCCCGTATCTTGCGATAGCGCCGTGAAATGAGTCACCATATGCTCCGCCCATCGCCAAACCCCGCCCATAAATCAATGCTGTTTCGCTACGCCGCTACTGGAGAGGGAGACTTTGTTTTCGTCCTCGTAAACAGCTTCTTCTCGTTTTTTTAATTACAAGTCTTGAACTTCACATCTTCACTGTCATTTGCAAGAGCAATAACACAACAGTTTGATCCAGGACTTTCCGTTTAATCCTGTAGCACAGTAGGGTAAGTTGCTCTTAGTGGCTATCGCCACTTTCCTCTTCCCGAAGCTCTTCTACTGTTACCATTACCTT